AACAGATAGATTTTGTGTCCAATCAAATAATAATGTTGTTCGCCATCTTGTAACTCTTTTTTTTATTAAAATTCGTTCGTAGTTGCTAAAAGTATTTATAATTTTTAACAAACGATCTGTCATTTTTTTAATTCTTAAAATAAATGATGAAATTCTAATAAACTTTTTCCCTGAACTTTTTCCCGCGTAAAATAACCATAAAAATATCTAATGATACGTTGCCAGCTTCGATAAGAAAGAGGTAAAAGAAGAATGATGATAGAAGAACAAAAGAAGGCATACAAGTGGAATAGACATTGTATTATTTCCAAAGATAATATTTAAAAAAAAAAACTTACAAACGCCAAATGTTGTTCCGACCAAGGAACAAGCGATACCACTGAAAATAAAGAAATACTTAAAATACATTTCCATTGTCATATAACACTAAACTCAATAAAGATGCTTACTAAGAAGGAAAACTAAGAACATTGTTATTTCTCTAGTACATTTTGTATGTATTTCGCATGAACTATGAAACATTCGTAACTGAAACCTTATCAAGGTTTCGCAATAAATAAAAATATTGAATTTCACATTAAAATGTAACGAACTAACAAACATTCGAAACTTAAACTTGAAGTGAAACATACAATAACATTTGAAACATTGTAATTTAGACAATTCAAACTTAGATAGTTTTTAATTTAACTATATCATTTGTTTTAACTGCAGTAGATTGAAAAAGTGACACTAGAAAGGTAATATAAATTAAATAAGGAACTCGAAATGTTAGGTACATATAATACTTAAAGTAAATGCACAAGATTAGAGGCTTCTCACTACAATCAACTACATAGAGAAGTTACAACCGCGATTTCTGAAGCTATATACGATTAGTTCAAACTATGCCTACACACACAGTTTTAATTGAACAATTTAACTATTGAGTTAAAAATATAGCAGGCTTGAATGATTTTATCGTTAATAAAAATAAAAGTAAAATTGTTGAAAAATGTACACCATCCATATCAAACCTCATTGCGTATCAGGCCATACAAAATATCATTGTTTCTTATTATTATATACCTGGTTGTAGAGTTGTTTAACTTATATATCTATACTAGCTTTAGCCGGAGACTCTGTGCGCGTGGAATTAAAAAAACAAAAGAGAGTGTCCTGTGTATTCCGCCAGACTACTCTCTACATCTAGCCAAATTTAATATCCGTTCACCATTTTAGGCTACAAGCTCTAACAAACATCCATCCAACCATCTAAACATTCGCATTTATATTGTTATAAATAAATAAATAAAATAAAAAAGCCTTCTATTTCCAGCAACTTAGGTTACATTACAATTCAAAACATTTTAGAACGAATAGATTTATGGTTGTAAATTACATTAAAAGTAAGTAGACTAGTTGGTTTTTATAATATTATATTATAGTGTTATAGTAAGGTATTTTTTATTGTAAAGTAAACGACCTGTAAGTATAGAAAGAAAATTCCGAACAGTTCGCTACAAAGCGTTTCATTCACAGTACACAGCCAAAGTATGACTTCACGGTGGAATATTTTATGACAGCCGTTTAAAGATTTTCTTTGTGAAATATTAAAAGACAAATCTTGAATAACCGTGAAATCCACTGCCGCAAGTCTTAGATGATGTTTGCTTTGTTTTTTTTTTAAAGTAAGCACTTTAGCAGAGCTTCGTTAATGGAAATCAAGGAATTCTGGTATCTTCTATTTTACAATTATCCCATTTATAGAGGGGGGGACTGCCCCACCTTCCCAAAACGCTCATTACTCTACCTCACCGATCTTGGGGTCGAGAGTTCGAATCGCCATTCGACTATTGTCGTGAACCATATCTTAGCACAAGTGTAGAACGTAGCTGGAATGGTTAAAGGAAATATTAGTAAACTAGTTATCACCCGAGACACCGTCCGCGTGGAATTAAAAAACAACGAAAGTGGAGTAGCCTATGTGTTCTTCCAGACTATCGTCTACATCTATACCAAATTTACAAAATCCGTTCAGCCGTTTAGGTTACAAACTCTAACAAACATCCATCCATCCATCCATCAATCCATATAAACTTTCACATCATACAAATATTATAAATGCGAAAGTTTAGATGGATGGATGGATGTTTGTTAGTGTCTGTAGCCTAAACCACTGAACGGATTTCGATGAAATTTGGTATAAATGTAGAGGATAGTCTGGAAGAACAGATAATCTACTCATTTGTTTTTTTTTAATTCCACGCGGACGGAGTCTTGGGAGAAAGCAAGTTTATAATATTATGATTAACAAGAATCTACCAGTATTAAAAAAAAGTTTTAACACTATAACTGGCTTGTTTATAAATCGAGCCATGCGACGAAAAGGGTCACATTTTAAAGAGAAAAAAACAAAGAGTCACGATTTATTTCTCCTCCTAAGGTATAAATTCGTTATCACGTGCGGTAGTGACTTACATTGTAAACGTGATCTCTGTTTAGTGTCTGTCACGTATTGATTTACTGATAGAAGATTAACACTAGATTTGCACTAGATTGTAACTATTATCTAGTTTTAACTGGTATATAACTTATCTATATTAAATTACATTTCGATGTGTTTGTTTTTGTTGCTATGCGAAGGCATTTATTGTTATTATTTGCCAGTTTTAAATTCTAAAGCAAGGTAATTAAAATACATTAATTATAGATAAGGTAAATAAAATATAATGTCACTTTTGAATCAAGAAGGACACTCTTGAAAATACATTTAATTCCAAAATAGACTGGGATTTATTTCGCTTAAAAACCTTATTCTAAATATCGTTGATACCCTCGCGTATTTAAATGAATTGCGTCATTTGAAAAATGGATAAAATCAAATATAATTTTAATCTTAAACACACAATTAACTATTTCCTTAAAATACCTTAACAATATTAAAGATATCTCTTTTCAAGATCAATTTACTTAACATATTTCTTTAATTTTACACGTGAAGGTAATCCAAGGTGAAGAATGCGAACTGACAAACACACACTGTATTAGAGATAAACTTTTACATCTTCTATAGCGGAATATTTCAAAATACAAAGGACGCTGTAGTCTAGTTTGTATTCGTCTTTTCAGAGACATTCATTAAACCTCGTCTGACCGACGCAGGCGCACATCATATTAGCAAATAAAAATGTTCGAAATTTGAAATTGTGCCAACGATAATTAAATTAATTACAAATTTAATTAAAATACATTATTAAAGTTTAACATTTGAGAAATTTAATCATATTAAAATAGAAAGTTTAATGTGTTAAATTATTATTTTATTTATAATTTAAATTGAAAGAAATCAAAATGGTGATAAAAGTGCAAATGGACCAAATGAGTCCTGCAGCCAGCAGGTTCCGGAGTATTGCTTCACAGGTATTGTTACAGGACAACTTAAAAACTTTATTTATTCTTTCAAAACAATTTGTTTTGGGGGATTCTAAGATATAATACTTTTATGTATCTTTAATATTGCATTAATAATAGCTTAGTTAATTGTCACACGCAGTTTAGTGCCTTCTTAGCCCTTAATTCGACGGAGTTTTTTGTAGCAAAAAAGTGTTATTTGTTACCAACACACTAAAATCGAATTTTCACGAATTTTTTTTTAAACTATTTCAGTCGTTTTTTTTTAATTATTTGTTCGTCACACTGGACAATATCAAATTAACAGTTAATAGGCATTTTAATGTTAGTTATGCTATGAGATATACTCAGAGTCGTAGACCCTTAGTGAAGAAAAGTGTTTCTTGTTTAACAGATCGGCCTACTGATCAATCGGCCCAATCTTTCCCCTTTAGGCTGAATCGTAATAGTAATAGACATCAGAATTAATAAGAACGATGGTTTGAAAAGACATTTAAAAACATGCAGTCGTTTACAATTCACCTTAGTGTTATATTTTGAAATGTTGGTTGGTATTGAGTCTTTACTTTCTCTAAAAAACTGGTAACGCTAATCGTCATTCCAAATTATAAATAGAAATTAAATTGCAAATTATTTATTGAAAGCAACAAAGATAGGATTATTACGTTTGAATTTATACTAACTCAAAACTAATTTGTACCTTTAACACTAAATTATAATCTAGAAATGGTGAAACGTGTCGTATTAATCTTATAAATATGAATGCGTAAGTTTGATTGTATGGATGGCTGTTTGTTACCTGGTAACCGTACAAACTGAATCTGTATAAAATTTGGAACTGATGTAAATTTAGGTATGAAATAGACTAAAAACTACAGCTCATTTTTTTACGGATGAAGTCGCGGCAAAAGTGTAATATATATCAATGCCAGTTAATGGCAAGGGCTGACATACACAAACAGCTTGCATGTAACTGGCGGCATTTAGTGGCGATTAACTGTAGATCAACCAACGCTTAAAAATGTGGATATAGAATTTTTTGAGCAGGCCGTCTATGTCGGCCTTAAGAGGAACAAAACGGCGCTATAAGATATATATTAAAACAATTAACTTCAGCTTATGTTATGCTTATAAATAACCTAAAGGATGGAAGATTCCTATATACACGCAAGCGTGACTCATTATGGGAAAAAAGATTTACTTTTGTTCACTTCCATACAATTAGAGTTTACAAAATGAATACGAATTTAAACAATCTTAATGTTATTATAAATTAAACAAAGGGTTACAAATGGTGAGGAATTACTACAACGATATTTAAGAAAACTTTATCAAGGTTGTATAAGTTAATTAAGGAATAACTTGATTCTGGCTAGAAAATTTTCTGTAAAAATATTTTACAGTAAAACATATCTATGTTTCATTTGGAGCAAATGATGATATTATCTACAAGCGTTAGTAGATGCGGCAGTAACAAATTGTCATTTTTAAACATTTTAAACTTAACCTCACCTTGGCATGAATTATAACGACATTGGATAAAGACGAGGATGGTAAAGACATTTTTAAACCAAAATAGAAAGATGAACAAATTTAACTTTAAGTTTCATGTTTCATTGCTGTAATGGACTATTTAAAAAAACCTCAAGATTGAAGAATGTCAAACAGAGTTATCTAATATCAAAGTAAGAACATAAAGCACAAGCCAGTGTTAAAGACAAATTGCCTTCCTTAACAGAACCCGTGCACCCGTCTAAATATGATACATATACATACTATTAGTACAGATCTGGCGGAGGAAAGTACGCATAGGGAAAGGTAATATCCTCTTCTCATGCCTCCTATTCCCTGTCGATTTAAGGTAGGCAACGTATCTGCATATGCGGATGTATGTGGGCAGAGGTCGCTTCACTATTTGGCGAATTTAGCTTGCTCAATTGTCATCTAATACGATAAAAATGTCGTCAGTGGGAATGCACGATTATGGTTATTGAGTACTTCACCAGCCGCAATGCCCCAAAGACAAAACTAAAAATAAACGTAACACGAATGCCATTTTATTATGCTAATAGTAAAATCGTATAAAACTTACTAAATTGATTTTGTGAAATCGTATCTTGATACCGTTACATAAAGCTTTTTTTAAGCTTTGACAACTTTATTCACTACTAGCTGTTGCTCGTGACTTCGTCCGCGTGACTTAAAATAATAAAAATACGTTCTTCACTAATGACGCAGCTTTTTAATGGTCATAGAATGTTTTAAAAAAACAAACCAATTTTTTCTTTCTATAAATAATATTATAAGTAGTATAGATTTTATTTGATAGGAATCCATGGTTTAAATTTAATAACATCTTTATCTCGACATATGTTCAGTCGAAACAAATCTTACACGTTCTAACCTCCACTGTATTACCCAAAAATTATAGCAAAAGCCGACATACACTGACTGACTGACATTAAATTATCGTAATCTGTACTCACTTCAAGCAGGGGATGACATCACTGTGGTCCGTGTATAGGGAACTTTAATAGGTTGAACGTTCTACTGGCAATCCGTTTATGTCAGCGCTACACTACACGCGCACACTGGTTTCCCAGATTTCTAGGACAAAATATTCGAATGTTTGACGCACGTGACTTCATCACGTGCCTCGGACAAAAACCTGAAATCAAAAACCACTTAAACAACGAACAAACGTGACGAAATAATGAATAATTTATACGTAACGAATGTTAGAAACTTTTTTGTCACGCTTAATATAAATATTTTGTATGTTAATTAATTGACGCGTTAAAAGTAATGTAGGCACACCTAAATCTGAACTTTATTTTTAATATTGAAATCTTATCTTACTAATATTGTAGATCCGAAAGTTTAGAAGGATCGAAGGATGTCAATTGAATGATTGGAAGGAACACTAAATATCTCCAAAATGGCTGAATAAATGCAAAAATGTGAAACATAGTCTGGAAGAACACATAGGTTTTGCTACCAAAATTATTTAAATAAATGAATTATTTGTGGGTCAATCTTAAAAAGTAACATGATAGATGAAAATACTTATAAAAAATCCTGAGATCCATTCGCTTTTTAGATTAAGGTTAAGTTAAGCGGGAGTTTTAATTATGGTTTAGACAAAAAAGATTAAAATGAAAAAAAACCGTTTATAAGATAAGCCGTGAGCCTACACTGCCGTGACATTCAAATTGTCTCATATTGGCATCTCTTTCATTCTCTTAGTTTAGACAGTGTCAGCGATATAATACAATTGAGTTCTACGCACGTGTATCCATTGAAGGTTTTATTTGTACGATTTATTTAAGCTTCTTTGTAAATAAATCGTTTAAAGATTAACCTACTTTTATTTAAATAAATGCAATGCCACACTTTTGTAAATGACTTCTAGGTCATCTATATGAAATAATGTCATGGTTGTGACAAATTCTTCCTGTTGTTATCCTTCCTCAGAGTCAGAAAAACAAAGGCAACATACAATTTCTAAATAGATTTATACCAATAAAATATTTTACTAGCGACTCCCAACGCGCAGGTATTAAAAGAAACTGAGTAATTAGTCTATGTGTTCTTCCAGACTATGTTCTAGGGCTGTGCCTAATTTCATCCAGAGTCGTTCAATTGTATGTTGATATCCACGATACCAAGATTTTAGGAGTAGAATCCCACGACGCTAAAATACTTACGAGTAACGACTAGATATACAATTTTACTTGCTTGAATATTTTCTACGATTTTTTTGGCTCTAATATAATGAATATTGCCTACATTTATTTTATACATTTTCATTTCACAAGCAAAGTATATTCAAAACTAACTGTTGCCTGCGACTTCGTCCACGCAATATAAAAATAAAAAAGTACCTTATAATATGCCCGTCTATGTCAGCTACCCTTCAGTGAAAGTACGGTCGAAATCGGCCAAGCCGCTTCGAAGAACACCCGGAACAAACGCGGCTTGCGGACAGATAGGCAAACATTTTTAAATGAGAATTTGGTTATCAGCAACGTAAATACATCATCTTCCCGAAATCTGAAATTTTTCTTTTGATATTACAAACAGACACTCCAATTTTATTATATGTATAGATGTATAGTAAAATTATAACAATGGCTGACACAATGACGCGTCTGAGTTAAAACGATTTTGTTGCGACGAACTTATTTACATAATTTATTGTAACAACTTTGTACGTTTACCTCCAAGGTTTTAAAACTGAATAAACATAAAAACTAATAAACAATTAACGGAAATACTTAATGTGTGAATGTTCAGTGATAATATACATTTAATAATAGCTAACTAGGTTTTAAAGATGGACACGACCCAAATTAGAAGCGTCAAAAAAAGTAACCAATTTGTCAGATAAAAAATTCTAGTTCTACATTAAAATTGGAACAAAATTAAAATACCTACGCTTTTTTAACTTAGAACTTTTTTTCGAAATTATCTTTATTTTTAATGCTAATTAATGTGTTCAATTTTTTTAAACTATGAAATAACTGAACCCATTATCGTAAGCGGTTCATTTTTGTTCGTGTATTTCATAGTAACGCCATCTATTGATAAGTTATATAAACATAGGAAAAAGGGGACTATTTTTATGGTTATGAGCATTTTAAATTGTTTCTTTTTTAGATCATATCATCCTTGTCTCCGAATTTCCTTCTACTAGACCTTGGGATGGCTATAAGTTTTCCAACTATAGCACTACCAGTCCTTCTTAACGCCCGGGAAGGCTTATCCGTAAACGATGTCCAGGCATCTTGGTTTGGTGAGTATCTTAGACTTAGGTTACATCGAAGAACTCTGTTGTTAAAATTAAGTTTACTAGTTAAGAATCTATACTCTATGTTCATTTAAATTTTTTTATCAAACTGTAGTTTAAAATAAGGTTATTTTACTAACAATAATCAGCCTTTTTCTAGCTAAACTTTATTTAAAATTATGTGATTCTATTTTAACCATAGTGATTGGGTTGAATTACGAAGTAAATTCGACACCTACTATACATAGAATAATCTTAATTTGTTTTTTTATTGATTCAGGAAGCAAAATTAAACATTTGTGTCCATTTCCATTCGTACCAATCTCTCAGTTTTTCAATTTAATTATTATAATTTCAGGCAGCTTATCATCGCTTACGCAACCATTCGGCGCTTTCATTTCTGGGCCTATTGTGGATTTCCTGGGAAGAAGACGGGCTAACTTCGTAGTGAATTTACCTCATATAATAGCCTGGATCTTAATGTATTTTTCGTGGGATCTACCGTCCCTGTTTATGGCCAATGCTTTACTGGGATTGGGAACCGGTATTATGGAAGCGCCGATTAACGCATATGTTGGTGAAATCAGGTATGTAATCATTACCTAAATAGAGTTATTGATGTTTACTTCTAACTGCTCACAACTTTTGCGACTTAATGCTAAATTATATTCTATTTTCTATTTGTTTTTCAGTGAGCCGTCAATTCGAGGATCATTATCAACGTTTACACAACTGTTTTTGTCGCTGGGGACATTTGCGATGTATTTTCTCGGGGCAGTAGTGGACTGGCGGAGCGCGGCGATAATCAGTCTGGCGATACCCATCAGTTCTATGGCGCTGGTGCTCTTGGTCAGTATACAAATACGTCCAAGATGACATGAAAAGTGGAGCGAAGCAATGCAACCAAACATCATGTACACTCTTAGAGCGTTCACACATCTCAAACTATACTTTCGAATAACTTTTTAGTCTCGCTTTGATTTCTATGAGCTTATATGGAGGTGCACACACTACTTTTAGCTGTGCAATTAAAAAGTTGAATTGGCTACGAATCAATCGACAATCGCATTACAGTTGTGCGATAGTTTAGTTAACGGAATGCTCATACTCTTATTCTTACTTACGATAGTACATTAATCATTTTGCTACATTACTTATTGACGTCAACGTAAACGTATATGTATATCTATTTCTTTCATTCATTACATAACTATAATTATAAAATCCATGGCTAATATATTCTCACATCAAATCTCCAAATAATACATGAAGGCGGATAAAATTGGTAAAGGTAACGATATCGATGTCTCATAACTGTAAAGAGTACAACTTAAATTTTAATTGAGACCATAAAATGCATAAAAGTGTGATTTAATTACGATCCTTCCTTAATAAGGACAGTTTACATTGCTACGGATATGAAGGGAATGCAAAGATAAATACATTTTTTGTCGTATCACTTAAGAAAACAAGAATTTTGAGTATCGCCGACAAAGGTGTCCTGTTTTGTCGAATACTCGCGAATCCTTACATTGGACCTGCTTTTACTCTTAAAATCTACAATAAATTATACAGTTGTGTTATAAATTTTATTTCTATAGCGTCGTGTTTTATATTTTCTCCTTACTTTGGAAGGTTTGGCGATATTGTATTAGACAAAACTTTAACATGTTAATGAACAAAAGTGTATATTAAAAAATGCTTAATAATTTTGTTAGAATATAACTTTTCCATAGAATCTTCTTTGTATTATCGAGTAGTTGTTTTCTTTTTGTAATAGATCTTTCTGTTCAATGAAGTCATTTGGTTTTGGAATTTTACTTACAATATTTTCGACAATAATCAGAACTAGAATTAATTGTAGCAAAGTTTATAACGTTAATAATTATTTGGGTTTTCAGGTACCGGAGACTCCAGTTTGGTTGCTATCACGCGGCAGAGAGAAAGATGCTTTAAATTCTCTGTGTAAGCTGCGAGGTTGGACGACGCCGGAGCACGTTAGGGAGGAGTTTGACCAACTGGTCGATTATAGCAAAAAATTACAGAATTGCGTCATTTGCTATAAATTATACAATAGAGACACACAGACATGCGAACATGTTACAATGAATCCTATTAGAAGGTAAAAATTATTACACGAGTAATAAAGAATTTCTTTGTATCAGTTTTAAGGAATTTCCAGAACCGGATGAACGTGTTGGATACAGTGAAAATAAAATAATAACTACATAAAGTAATAAAAAGTGCTATTTGTCCAAATTAGACCAGATTACATGACCATTAGGGTCGAAATAGGACCAATAAGCGACTAATATGAAATAATTTTATATATTCTATGACAGTATCCACCATATTTGTTACGATAAAATTATTTTATCTGTTCTTTTCTCCTTATTCTGTGTATTCCTATTTCCAGATCTATGTACAAGTTCAGATACGTGATGCTCGCCAAAGAGACACTAAGACCATTGATATTTGTGATGGTCTACTTCATGTTCTACGTGATGAGCGGCCTGACGCCCATCAAGCCCAACATGGTCAACATCTGCGGCGCGTTCGGTATGGCTCAGGACGGCAAAGATATTGTTGTGAGTATTAACTTCTTACAGTAAAACTAGTTCTTACTACACCTTATCTTTGCTTTTGATCGAGTGACTTCTAATTAGTGTTATCTAATTCCTTAGAGGAAATACTGTTCTCATAAATGGTCCCCATAAAGATTCCTTTAAATTTTACTATAAAGTCCATTAATTATTTTACTTTAGCCACATATCAAATTTACCTAAGCATCAATATATTTTAACTAATGTTTTCTAATCCGTAAACATAACTTCTAATCATCAAATAAAAATATCTCATTTTGCAGCTAAACGTCGGCATCATTACGATATGCTGTAGCGTCCTCGTCATAGCGTCCATCAGATATGTCGGCAAGCGAAAGATGGCCATCACCTCTCTTCTCGGCACCGCTATCTCCTGCGCGGCGTTGAGCGTCTACGCTAAATACAACCTCGATGATTCCGTTTTCTCCTACGACACGAGTACGTTCCCCAAGGAAACGAGCTACGTGCCTCTTATACTGTTTTACATGATGGCATTCTTCACCGGGTTCAATTTACCATGGGTTCTTGTTGGAGAAGTTTTCCCATTCAGGTAATACGTTGGCTATTGTTTTTTTTTTAAATCCCTATACAATAGTAAAATGAAAATCAATACAAAAACAAAAAAAAACAGGTAGCTCTCAAAATAAAAAAATAATCATTTTTTACTGAGTTCATATTCTACTAGCTTTCGTCCGCGACTCCGTCCGCGTGGTATTAAAAAAAAAACAAAAGTAAGTAGTGTATGTGTTGTTTTAGACTGTCCTCTATAACTATGCCAAATTTCATATTCTATTCTTATATTCGTCTCGGTTAAAAATATAATTATTCTAACATAGTTTTTTAATTAACAGAAGCAGAGCCTCAGCCCAAGGTATAGCAGCAGCGAGTAATTACGTATTCACATTCCTCGGTGCGAAGTCGCTCATAGATCTGGAGGTTTACGGACAGTTGTGGGGGACCTTCGCAGTGTACGCGGCTTTCGGCTTCGTCGGAACAATTTTCCTATACTTTTTCCTACCGGAAACCGAAGGCATGAGTCTAGAGGACATCGAAGTATTCTTCAACGGTGATAAAATACAAACGTTCGCAAACGATCCTGTTATTAATACATTAAAAAGACTTAAGAGGAGAAATATTAACCAATAAATATAAGACTCATTAATATAGTTATTTAAATATACTAAGCATATAAAGTGATAATATACCTAAATATAAAATTGGTTTTATTTAATCCCACAGAAACCAATTGAATGTTACAAAATGCAGAAGATAAACTTACATAAACACTATCAGTAAGCCTAAACGTATTCAATTTCGAAACGAATAAACCGGTAGGTACAATAAGAGTCACACTTAATGGCCGTTCGTAATCTGCAAACGAATATTTGTATCGCTTCACCAATTACAAATGAAAGAATGCATATACAGAACTGTGTTCGACATTTGTATTGTAATGTCCTGCGAATAACTTAAAATAATCCATACTATACCAACGGATTTCCGATATGACTTTGGTTTGGATTTCCGAGCCGCTATAAAGTTTGAATAGTACTATACTAGGTACATACAACTAACAAGTGTGTGTAGTGACAGTGAGTTAACATTCACAGTATGTGACAGCCGCGACGTAAGAAAATATATTTGTACCCGACATTTTCGCACTCAGTGTTATCGAAGTGAGAAATGTGTATCACACGCATATAATTATTTAATGAGTACTACTAATTGTGGTTTAATTAACAATTAATAACAAAAATGGTGCATAAAATACAAGATCAAATTGCGAGTACCATTCCAGTTAGTCGAATACGATGTGTCGCATCTCAGGTAAGTAAATTTTTATTTCGATTTACATTATTTAAGAACAGTAGGTATTTTTAATATAGACAAATATTTTATTTACAGTTATCCATACAATTTAAAAATATTTTAGTAAGAGTGCATTTAAAGTATGGGTACAGGCAAAGATTATCGCCGATTTTATACAATACAATGACTGATTTTGCAAGTATCGAAAGCACTTTTCAAAAATACGTACCCGTTCATTAGCAAGCATTCGCTAATTAATAGCTGTTTCTTGTACATCAATGTGAAATCTGCGTAATATAAAGTTTGCACGTTCAGATTGTTTTTATTTTTCTAAGTGTATAAGTACTCTTTGATGCTAATAAAAAAAGTATAAGAAAAACTTATGAAGACGAGTTTATCGAGCGTGAACATAAAAAGTAAATAGCTTAGCTTAGAGTAATTAAAAACAAAACAATGATTTGTAATTAAAAAAAAATACAATTTTGTGCATAAACGTTTTGTGATCAGTATATTTTATATAAAGATATAGGCAGCAACAACTTGTTTGTACAGTTGTATCGGTAGTGTTTTACGTGTTAAAAACATTTCTAGAACTACAGGTTCTATCACGAATATTTGCGCCACAGTTGCAAGAACGTTTTCTTAACTTCATCAAGCAGCGCTGCAAAAATCTTATACAAAATTTCTCGATAACATAATAGAAATTTCTCAAGAGTATTCGTGATAAACCCTCAGGAACATTTTACGTAAATACTTCAAATCGAAAGTAGTGTTGTTCTTCAGATCCCGTAATCCGGTAATAACATTTTTTTTAATACTAATTATCAGGACTGTACAAAGTAACGGTAATATTATATAGTAATAAAATGAAACAAACAGGATTAAAAAAACTTTATTGACTTGATATAAAAATCACTTGCGGAACTTACTCGTACAAGATCTTGTTACGATTATAAAAATCGAGTTACTAAAATTTTACGAAACCGTTAGTCAGTTCTGCCGTCTTCAGCGTGTATTCAGACAAAATTACAACAATTTTAAGAACAAATTGGTGAATTCCAAAAGATATGGAGAAAAAACAAAGAACCTCCAAACTGAACACAAATCTCCTTTTAAAAGTAAATGCAATCATGATATCAGTAAAATAAGTAGATATAAGAGTAAAAAAGCACGCCTTCGATTGTTACTGTAAGGCTCGTATATAACTTTAATGAGATCGTAAACTGTCTCGTTCAAGGACTTGAAATTCACAATCTCTTACTCAAACTGCCGCAAAAACTACCATTTTCGGCGACAGAGAAACTTAAAATGTTTCAAAAAATATTGTATATGAAATTAAATTTAACATAACTTCGGAATATCTTGAAATTCGGCAATAAAATAAATGCGACAATTGTAACCGTGGCCTTCCATCGTTGTTTCTTAAAACGGATATAACAATAAGGTTTTTTGTTTTTGACTGTCAAAAATAAACGCCTCTTTATATGCTTAGTGGTAATCGAAGTATGGGATCATTAAATGGTTTTAATTGAATAAAATTCTCATATGATTTTAACATAAAAAAGTTTAACAATCCTTATCTCCATAGAAGGCTGAAATGTTACCAATTGTCTTTCACCGTCCTTATTTTCTCAGTCAACTCAAACAAAAATAATGTGCAAATAAAATACATCTTCACACGAGGTCATCGTATTTAATGTCACTGAATAATTCTTTAATTTGAACAGATTATTTCATTGTTTATCTTTGGTTAACATAAATCCTAACATCTTACAATATAGTGAAACAGTTACTACATATACATTGTACATACAAAGATATAATCTTTACTACTTTCGTGATAACTAATGTAAAGGATTTACTTAACAAAAGATTTTAACATCTTAAAACATTGTTAACCTAATAATAAAATGTCTATACAATGTTTGCGTTGACGTCTTTCAAATTCAAGGTAAAATATTTTTTAAATGCAAGTTTATTGTCGCCTAAAATTCATCAACACATCTAAATAGTCGACAGGAAAATCGAATTTTGAATATCAAAATAACTCTTCAAATTAATATTCGAATAATAAAACTAAATTGAGGATAACCTTATCGTGGAATCTATGCAGTTTTGAGTAACCAGTTTTTGTTTCTTCTTAAACATTTGCAAAGATTGTAATTGTACCAATATCTTAAAATAATATTAAATAAGTTTATATACTTATGTGTGCATTTATCCGCGTATTTCAACCTCTAAAGAACACCAGTTTACCTTGGTTCCAACCTCTCTATATAAACTACCAATGTAATCTTCACGCATCATATAAACAAAAAGGTCAATTATAAAATTTGAGATGGTTTTAGCTTCCATACAAAAAATATATATTTAATGGCACGCATTTGGTAGGATCTTTCCAGAAATCTCAAGAGCCATTAGTTTATTTAGCAATATAATCAATATAGATATTGCGAATCACTTATTTAATTGGTTGCAATAATATCTTCCAGGTAATAGCATGTATGCCGCCCAACTTTCTTTTACTGGACCTTGGAATGGCGATTAGTTTCGCCACAATCGCAGTGCCGAGTCTACTCAATGCTAAAGAAGGGTTATCCTTAGATGAAACGCAAGCGTCATGGTTTGGTAAGTATCACATCACATCATCACCAGCTCACTATACATCCCCACTGAGGGGCTCAGAGCCTACCCTAATAAGAGGTGACTAGACTATAGTCAACCATGCTGGCCCACTGCGGGTTTGTTGACTTCACATAGAATTTTTTCGCTGATATGTGCAGGCATCACGATGTATTCCCTCAACGTAAGAACGTCGCATGCAGAATCTTAGTTTGATTATACGTGTACTTAAACATCTCTGAGCAATGTAATTATTACAAATATTATGGATACAAAGATCTCCATTAACTGTATTACATGTTATTAATATTATAAATGCGAAAAGTTTGGATGGACGGATGGATGTTTACTAGAGTTTGTAGCCTAAACGGCTGAAAGAATCTTTATGAAATTTGGCATAGATGTAGAACAAAGTCTGGAAGAACTAGGCTACTTGCTTTTCTTTTGTTTTAATCCCACGCGGACGGAATCGCGGGCGAAAGCTAGTATCTTATACAGTTAGTGAAGAATAGAAACTAATGAGGAATACAAATCGAAATATATCTAACGCTACAAAATCATTCAAGCAGTTTTGACTATGGGCATTCACAATGGAGCAAATATGATATAAACGCGCACATCCTTCTACGTCAGTTGGGTTTATTCCGATCTCCTATTTAGAGACTACAGTGTACTAGAATGTTCTAGAACATCCATTCATATATTCGCTCTAAAAATACCGTGGCGTTTGTTATTATTTGAAATTCAAGACTTTTGTCAACAATGATGCTTATGTTGAACCAAATCATAACATTATTCTTTTCTTATCAGAAAAATCTTTTTTTTTTTCATTGTGTAAAAATAAATTGTTATAATAGTGTAATTACGTAGACAATAACACGATGGTAAACGATGTAATAATACTGTACAATGACGTTCAACATGAAGGTGCATGTCTACATTTTTGACAGATCGAGGTCATCGATGTACACTCATGACTGAAACATGCACAATGTATTATTTGCCGTATTCAAATATTAACAATGCGTCATACAAGTTTAATTACATACATCTATAATGTTCACGACTACATATGGACTGCTTAAAGATATCCGTGTATGGCCCTTGGTATATATGTGTATTTTTTTTTCAGGTAGTCTTTCATATTTAACTCAGCCAGTTGGTGCATTACTATCAGGTCCGGTAGTAGACTTTTGCGGTCGTAAAAGAGCTAACTTCTTAGTCAATATACCGCATCTGGTGGCTTGGTTATTGCTGTATTTCTCATGGGATCTACCATCTCTGTTCATCGCCAATGGACTCTTAGGATTGGGAACTGGCATTATGGAAGCACCGATCAACTCTTATGTAGGGGAAATCAGGTAAAATACCTCTGTTTATACCTTGCTGTTGGCTTCCATTGCGGAAGTGTTTCTACAAAGATTGTATTAAAATTTATTGCGGTAAAAGTGCGAAGTGGCCACTGCACATAAAAGTCATCATCTAGTAAAAATTACTTTAGTACTCTGCCTTAATGTTTTTCAGGTATATCTATTTTGTAATTTAGAGGCTGATAAGCTAATGGTCATAGTAATTCGATTCCAATGGCATCATGAATTTCGAAAGACAAAGATATAACTTTTAGGTCAATGGCTGCAATCTTATCAATACAATGTTAATCAGAGAGAATTTAAAATACGAAGATTTATCACAATATAAATATTAACTGCAATAAAAATACCTCAGTGTAAATAGATTATGATGGTTCAATGGGCTTTTTAAATTATAAAAAAATTACATGATCCATTATTCGATCAACGGTAGGCAATGCATCGGCTATTGTGAATGTCTATGCGCAGCGGTTGCTTCGCTATTTTGGCGGTATCAGATGGCCACTTGCTCGTTTGCCACCTTATGATGTAAAAAAATATCATGTATTTGAGTATTCCGAAAGACCATGATTGTCATAAAGTAAGGGATAATGTATGCTTTGCCTCGACTACGACTATTAAATAATAAATTCAAAACTACAATCATACAAATAGAGTTGTATTGGCACGTCTCTCGTCTGGCTCTTTATTATCTACTTGTGGTCGCTGACCCGAATTCCAGAGCAAATCAATCAATTTTATTTTAAGGATGTTATTGATCTTAGAAGATCAGCAAGAGCTGGAAAAGTTTAAATAGCATGTAATGAATTAGCTATATATTTTAAATATCTTAGTGACAATTTAAGTACTTTTACTATATGGATATGTGTGTTAAAATTTCAGTGAACCATCTGTACGCGGGGCTCTTTGCACACTGACCCAACTATTTACCTCGATCGGTGTATTCGTGATGTACTTCCTCGGTACTGTAGTGGACTGGCGAAGAGCGGCGCTAATAAGTCTTGTGGTACCTGTCAGCTCTATGGCTTTTGTGTTCTTGGTAAGTGACCACCACTGGCTATTGTTGTGTAATGATTACCTCAAACTCGCAAAAACAATATTAACAGACTTTGACTGAAGTACATGCTATACATTTTTGTAATATACTTACAGGTTCCAGAAACACCGGTATGGTTACTTTCTAGAGGCAGAGAAAAGGATGCGTTAAAGTCACTGTGTTATCTGAGGGGATGGACTAAACCAGAAGATGTTAAAGAAGAATTCGATGAGCTGGTGGAGTATAGCAAGAAGCTTCAGAAATGTGTTATTTGTGACAAGATTGATGACGTAACGAAGAGTTGTGAACACTATAAGATGAATTCATTTAAAAGGTATATACGAGTAACAATTCGGATGTATTTCAACTATCTAATGTAGCATTAAAACATTATGCCTTATTACTAACTTTGTATATTTAGTAGCAGAAAAAACACAAAATTAGTGAAAAGTAAGGGAAAATGATACGACTTTGTTAAAATAAAAAATAAAAACTCATAGTAGGCATACAAATTCTATACGTTGCTTTGCATAAGTATCTTTAAGACAATTATGTTAGGTAGTTTTAGTGGTTATAACTACAAGATCGTAAATGTTCTTCCCCTAGATCTATCTACAAATTTAGATACGTGATGCTGGGTAAAGAGACAATGAGACCGTTGGTGTTGGTGATGATGTACTTTTTATTCTACGTGATGAGCGGCCTCGCGCCCATCAGACCCAACATGGTGAACATATGCGGCGCACTCGGCATGGCGCAAGACGGGAAAGTTGTTGTCGTAAGAAACTTTATATATATTCAAACGCAATATATACTTTTATGTTGTCCAAGACAACTTTAGTATTTGAACCTTTAGTTATAATCAAAGATACATCTGCAGCCTTTAAAATGTCAAAGTTCTTTGTTACTTTAGCAGTTGTCGCTTGCTTGTTTTCCGCCTAAAACTACCTAATTGTGATAAAACAATTTCCCTTTTCAGCTAATGGTTGGCGTTATAACCTTCTTAACTGCTCTCGTAGTGGTGATGTTAATAAAAGTGGTTGGTAAACGCAAACTAGCAATATCAGCGATGTTCGGTACTGCTATCTTCTGCGCCGCTCTCAGCGTCTACTCCAGAAAGAATCTCGCAGACTCTGTTTATTCTTATGACACTAATACGTTCCCGACGGAAAAGAGCTATGTACCTTTGGTATTGTTTTATATGGTGGCTACTTTCACTGGACTCGCTGTGCCTTGGGTTCTGCTAGGAGAAGTGTTTCCGTTTAGGTAAGATATGGTTTTTAACTAGTGTTTAAGTCATCTACTCCATTATAAATGAAAGACTTTCATATTCTTTACATTGCCATAATTAATCTAATGGTTTTTTTAGGAGTCGTGCTTCAGCTCAAGGTATCGCAGCAGCCAGCAATTACATATTTAGTTTTCTCGCCGCGAAAACTTTCATTGACCTTGAGATCAATTTAAAATTATGGGGCACCTTTGCTACTTATTCAGGGTTTGGTTTCCTCGGCACTATATACTTGTACTTCTATTTGCCCGAAACAGAAGGCAAAACGCTACAAGAAATAGAAGATTTCTACAATGAAGATAAATCGAAAACATTCGCCGACGATCCATTTATAAATTTCTTTAAGAGATTCAAAAGAAAAAAGTATTCAATGTAATTAAAACTATTGTGATTAATTTTTAACTTTACTTAAGGACCATAAATTAAATAAAAGTCTCTAACTTTCTATGCTGTTTGTTTTTTTGTAACAACCTACAGCTGATTGACAGATCTCACGTATAGTAATCATAAATTAAAAAAAAATAATCTATAACGCCTTTCCTTTTAATACATATCCAAAACAAAGAGCGGGCGCACGTTTTTCACTAAAATGTCGCACAACTGTTGTGCGATTGTCGATTGTTTCGCAGACAATTCAACTGTTTGGTTGCACAACTAAAAATCGAATAGTGTGCGCTCCTCCATATAAGCTCATAGGAACCAAAATGCGATTAAACAGTTGTGCGATAGTTTTGTCATGCGTGTGTGCGCGCTCTTACTCTTATTCAGGACAGATGCTTTATACATATCAGTATCAGGTACACTATATTCTAACGCTACAACAAGAAAAACAAAAGTGTATCTAAGTTTTTAATCACCTCACTTCACAACTACACTAAAATATAAAATTGACTAATAATTACAATTCCGGATTTTCAACTTTGGCCATAAACAGAGGCGTGGTGAGTTTGTTATCCCAAAGTATTGCAATGAATGGTCTATCAGCGGTGAAAGATGTAGAAGGATCATCGTAGGAAAGTGCGACCACTGATAAAGAAGTGGCAGCTGAGGCGGAACCTCCGTTCTCGTCAATAGATAGAATCGCACTGTGGATACCAGATGAGATACGCGGTGAAATCCCATTCTTATGACCAATGCCGCTGAGTTCTGCTTCATTACCAAACATTGTCCAAATTCCAAGCTGTAAAAAAACGGAGGTAAAATTTAATATCTGTCTTCACATTCATGTCTTCACCGTAAAGAAGTTTGGCAGAGTATGTCTAAAGTCTTTGTTCAATCTTCTAATCCCTGTCTTAATTCGTAAATGAATAGTCATTTTAAAAGATACTTAAAAATGTAACAATAATAAGTATTATTAATGTTCACTTACCGCGTTAAAAACAGATTGCACGTCGCTATCTTGCTTGATAGTAAACTTGGGGATTTTAATCTTAACTTCCTTAGGTTCAAGGTTTTGGTATGAATATAGTTGTGGCTCCGTCAATGATAGAAGTACGTTATTCACGTTGTTCCCCTTCAGTGGAAGTATGAACATCATGGAGTATTGACTGCCCTGGAATATCGATATGAAACTATAAATATTTTGTGTAAAATCATGGACATCCGCAATACCAGAGGAACTATAGATGCGTTGCCGGTCTTTGAGGAAAAGGTAGGCTCGCTTCTTGAAGGGCTCTAATTCGAAATGGTACGCGATACAATTTTTGGATACGCCACTGATCATATACATTCATTATGCGCTATGAAATAAGTATAAATTTTGTATATGAAGTGCGAACGCGATGGCATCATTACAGGCACGGAATTTACCCATAAAAACCAAGTCTAAACCATTTGTTGACACGTCTATGTTCATATTAAACATTTTTTTTAGAAGTGGCACACGATACGTAATGGTTCCTAAGGTACAAAGTCCTAAATAATCTGGACAAATATTCACATTCTTTTCGCATAAGTCACGCATCAGCCCCTTAGACAAAGTGACTTTCGATTATCGATGTCGCTTATAGCATCGACAAAATGTATCAAAATGCATAGGAATGCATACGTGACTTATCAAATGTTATTATTGTCAGTTCTATACATTTTATGATAGACTTTTCGATCAGCGATAGCGATAATCGATGTTACTTTGTCTAAGGAGGCAGATTTTTTTTACATGTATGTATAAAATTAATTTAATAAAACTTACCGCGAATGGGAGTACCATTATTTGTGATTTTAACACTGGATCGACATCAGTTCTGACCGTTCTTGTCGCTTGCATGAATTTCGCTAACTTCTGGGAACCATCGCTCAGAGTGAATATATTGTCCTCTGTCAGCTCTGGTCTAAATTTAATGTCCCACGTGCCTTTGAAGTATATAGCATTCACCAATACCATTAAACTTTCTGGTGCAATAGACTCTATGGATAAAAAACAAAAAAGTCATTATTTATTTATGTTTAAAGTAAAAGTAGAAGCAGCGGATACATTTGGTGTAACAGGTCCTAAAAATCTAATGGCCGGTTTCCCTTTTAACCATTCGTTAGTGTTTTTGATTCGATAACTACGTGAAATGTGTTTCCGAAGTTTTACTCCGTTTAAATATAGGTCAACCTAACACTTATAAAGCACTAGGTAATGGTATAATAAATGTAAACACAGCATAAGACAAAAAAAAACATTTTTTTTATTAATACGATGTTGTACTTCTATCTAACTAATATTATAAATGCGAAAGTTTAGATTAGTTTAGATGGATGGATGAATGGATGGTTGTATGGATGTTTGTTAGAGTTTGTAGCCTAAATTTGGCATAGATTTAGAGCAGTGTATGGAAGAACACATAGGCTACTTACTTTTGTTTTTTACATAAGTTAATCGAAAAAAGCAACATACAAAGTTATGCGATTTGTAAAAAGATACTGGATGAAGTCTCAAAAATTACCTGGTGTTAAAAGATTTGTAATCTTGTGATTCGTTTTATCAGACACCCAACTGTTGATCCTCGCCACAGTTCCGTAAGGATCGTTGAAGTTCGCACTGGTGACGTCACTGCCGAAAGCATTGATTGCATTTGTTTTGAACTTCTTGTCAAGTGTAAAGCCATTTGCTATATACAAGTTGCTTGCAATCTTCAGAATGCTGCTGGAACCACGTTTCTATTGGAAAAACAAAAGAACACTACGTTAAAGCCAACTTGGAAAAAGACTTAGAGAAACAAAGGACTCTTAATATAGAACAGTGAAGAAGTACTTATACGTATTATGAATGATGATGGGATCATCACATAATAAAGCCTAAACCGTTCGTTTGCTTAGCGCCTGCTTTATTATAACTGGAATTTAAAATTAGTAACAGACATTCTTAAAAATTCGTGCATTGTTGTTATACAATCACAAACTAAATCCAAGCAGTTCCAAATTAACTTTTAATTATTTAACCCTCGCATATTGTTTGTGTGTAAATTTAAATATAAAATATATACCGACTTACCGACCACACCAAATAGTTATTACTAAATAATTATATAAGATTGGTTAAATATTTCCATAATTTAGACGCAATACAAAAACATAATCATTTAATTTGACTCTTTTCTATACTTTTTTTATCTTGTCTTCAATATAATTACTCCCATGAAACATGAAATTCATAGACAAACATTGCTTAAATTTTTAACTTTGTAATAATGTGGTTGAAATTCTTTTTTAAATTTTTAATTCGAATTTTAAAAAAATCTAAATCTTTTTCTATAACTCTCTGGGTAGCAGAAACAAACAGTTTAACGCCACATCTGCGACTCATTTGTTTTTTAACTGCGAGCGCACATCTAAAACCAAACTATCGCACAACTGTTTAGTCGCGTTTTGATTCCTATGAGCATATATAGAGGTGCGCACACTACTCGATTTTTAATTGTGCAACTAAACAGTTGAATTGGCTGCGAAACAATCGACAATCAAAATAATTTTGCGATGGTTTACTCAAAGGTGGCCAGCTCTTTAAGTGCAGTGTGTCGAGATACATAATCAACTTCAGGCAGGCAAGAATGCTGTTATTGTGCATCAACCTTATTAGTATTTCTTGTCTTTGCAACATTAAAAATGATAGAATAATGAGCATACCTTCATAAATGATGTGAGTCCTTTAAACAATATTTGCGATGCGTCCGGAGTCAACTGGAGAGCCTGAGTGATTTCTTGCTGCGTGTACCCAAAGGAGCCTTGTTGTACAAGAGCTAACAGTATCGCGATGGAATACGGTGATATCACACTATTCCCTTGGATATTTACGGTCTGAAAATCATATAAAACTAATTATGTTCAATGTTCATTTAATACATATCAAGCATACATAAAATAACGGATGCTTAACTTGGGAAACCACATTCTTAACATATCACAAATTATTTTCCTTGTTTCTCAATAGTTTGCATATTTTTTATTCTATGTATGCAATATGAGTTAATAAAATTAAAATTTCTAATAAGAATTAGACTTGAGATTAGTTTTTAAAAAGGTTCACGATACATTTCTAAGAACGTGGGCACACCTTTGACTAACTATTGCAAAACTATTTAGTCGCAATTTGATGCTTATGAGGTAATATGGAGGTACTCACACTATTCGATTTTTAGTTGTGCAACTAAACAGTTGAATTGGATGCAAAATAATCGACAATCGCACAACAATAGTTCGATAAATTAGTCCAAGATGTGCGCCCGCTCCTAATGTAAAAAAAAAACTCACCTTAAACAATTTCAGACCAAATTTAGTTATAGCAAGAGTTTCGTTGTTGTAATTTGCATTTTGGCCTGTTATTCCGGTATTGTCAGTGCCAAACTTCGATGGTAGACCGCTGTTTATTTTTTGTGTATTCGTTTGACCCGAAAAATAAATTTGATTATTCGGTACGTTAGCTTGAGGTTGCTGGTTTTGTGAATAGACAGGCAGCTGTTGTTGGATTTGCTGATTTTGTAAATAATTCTGTTGATTTTGCTGGTTTTGGAGATAATTTTGTTGTTGGTTTTGCTGATTTTGAAGATAATTCTGTTGTTGCGGTTGCTGATTTTGGAGATAATTTTGTTGTTGGTTTTGCTGATTTTGAAGATAATTCTGTTGTTGCGGTTGCTGATTTTGGAGATAATTCTGTTGTTGCGTTTGTTGATTTTGGAGATTATACTGTGTCTGTGATTGTAGATTTTGTTGGAAATTCTGTTGCTGTTGTTGTATATTTTGTTGTTGTGGTCTTACAGTTTGTTGGTAATTCGTTTGTTGTTGCTGGTTTTGTGGGTAAAAATTTGATTGTTGGCTTGAGTCCAGTTGTGGCTGTGCGTTCTGTTGCAATTGTAGTTGTACATTTTGTGGTTGTTGCAATTGCAACGGGAGCGCAACACTTTTTTTGTTAGTCTGCAATTGTGTTTGCTTCTGTTGTTGAACACTGGGTTGAAACACTATCTGATGTGATTGTTTTTTATTTTTTTGAGTTTGTTGTTGAATCTGTATATTGGGTTGATAATCTGATGACCTTTTTTCAGCTCCCAGTCCATTATTCAAATATGATTGATCCGTATTCTGGGAATACCGCCGAGAATTTGGATTAACATTTACTCCAAACGGATCTATGTTAAATTGCGGAATATTTGAAAGAATAAATCGTTCGAAGTCATTACTTGATTGATATGTCTGGGAATCTGCTGTCCATATTAAAATAGAATATGCTATTATTACTGAAAGTAATAAATTGTTTCGTTAGTTGAGTGACGTAACAAAATTTAACATAATCAAGAATAATGCACTATAACAATGTTCATCACAACTGAGTCACAACAATAATAAATTCTACTTACGTTTTAAAATCATTGTAAACTTAAATTATCCACTGACATGAAACAATATACAGCAATTTATTTATCACAAATAATAAGATATTTTAACAACATTAATATGAGATATTTTATCGGCACAACATACACGTTCGCTCGCCACTACTAAAGCCCGATGTAAGCCGAATGGTCACAAACAACAGAATTATCTGATCCTTCATTACGAATTCTTGTTCAATCAAATTAGAACTATATCCCTCAAGTTATAAAGTTTATTATGTTTATTGTGTCTTTACTGATGATACGAGTCGTCTAAACAACTTAGCAGACATTTCGAGACTTGGTTTTTCCATGGCAGCCGGTTTTTTTTTGTTTTCCTGGCGCTTTAAACATCTTTAAGTTGAGATGTTTTAAAAATATCAGGTCGGGGACTCATAAAATTATTCTTTTATATCAATAATTATAATTATATCCTTATTTGACCTTTTGTGTAAGAAAAATAAACTGTTTTATGTTATACATTTAATAATATATACAAAGTGTTTGAAGATTACAATTTTCAAGTATTTTCTTGTGTCTATATTTTCGTTGTGAAAGTCAGTCAAATTGAGAATATTTTTGAAACTTTTAACATTAGGTACTTATTGCTATTTTACATTAATAAATCTATTTACTATTTTCTCTGTAGTTCATGTTTGTCTGTCAATATTAGGTACTATATTTTTAAATCTAGAAGTCAACTATTTATTTGTAGGTTAGGTAAATAGAATAGAATCAAGTCAATAAATGAATGATTAAAAATAGAAAATAAGTTAAGTTAAAGTTAAGTACTCTACATGAATCACTTAAAAAAATTAAAAAGCGACTAGTAAGTTGTAATATTTGTAATATTTCCTGGCCTACAATTATTACTACTACTTTAAAAAAGAGTGAATCTGCCATATTTTTTTTACAATCAAACAAATGACAATAGCCAATAAATTAAAATAAAATATAACCAATTTACAGAAGAGAACAAGTAATATTTAAACTTTTTATAATTTATCCAGAAAAACTCGAGTATTACAATTAAAATATCTCATACAGTCGGTCAGTCGAGGCATTCCGCCATCTTGTTTTTTATTCTTAAAGTCAACCAACCAGTCTCAAGATCACGTCACTATTCCGTTTTGTTGCGAGCATTTTCCTCAATAAAGTCTACGTACAGTCGGCGAATGTATCTTTAACGAATTTGATCACCTTTTGCGCTACGAAATGTGGACCTGCCCCGAAAAGCTCGATGGGCGCTTTGTATTCGAAATTATTTTGTGCAACAACACCGACAGCTCGACGTAACCGCGAGCATAACGCACACACGTTCTCTGTTTTCTTCTGTATTGCTTGAAATCTAAAATAAAATAACACATGATATTTACAAACACTATATTTCTTACCAAAGGAATAAAAGAGGACATTTTATGATTTAAGAAGAAATAACCAATCCAATTGCTCATTGCCCAGTCATAAAATCCTGTCCTATGTTAAAAGATAATCTAGACAAGTCTCTATTATATTGATTAAAAGCAATAAAAAAAGTAACGTGCAAAATTGATGATACATGACGTCAACCCGTTTAATAAATAATTGCTCCATGAATATTTTGTTATTAAATCTATAATATTACCTTTAAAAATACTGACTAAAGATGTTACCTTTTTTAATAACGCATCTATTACATATAACCGTTCATGATCTTTAGCGTTTTGACCTTTGTAACAAAAGGAGTAAACAGGATAACAGGAAAATAGTTCTAATTACTCTATATAATATACTAAATCGATGAATATTTCCTTTTCTATATGCAGTTATATAGCGACTGTTATTTGATTTGTGGCGCCCCTTTCCGTCAATCACCCATGGCTGTCGCCTAACGCCAGCGCCGTTTGAGAATATAAGTATACTTACATTGGACAACTATGAAGTCGCTGGATGGATTCCCGGTCGCCCAACGCTATAAGTGCATTCCGCACACAAACTCCCGCAATAATTGACGGCAATTCAGCACTGAACGACTTGTCAATCATCAGAGCTGACATGCAAAGAAACGTTGCAGCAATTTCAATCTCCCCGAAGCAAGATTTGTTTGAAACCCATGATAAATACGTGATGAAATCTTGCGGGACTATCGGTTGTTTGGGGAATTTCTGTAATAAATAGTTAAGTGGTTTAAAATGACAATAACCTTAATCTCAAACATATATACTATATATCAAGATTTACTAGGAGTAGCTAGCTGCTTCCGTCTACCAAAAAAAGGTAAATATTCTCACCAGCTTATTCAAGATTCCTAGTTCAGTCTTCCTGAGTTGATTACAGCTGAACGCTTTATTAGAGTACTTAACGAGTCTAGAGGCCATTGCAATAGGACCATGTATCTTCTGCGCTATCCAGAAGCATGCGGCGGCTACCAGCTGTAACTGATCCACTTGCACCACGCGACCGCAGAGCACAGAATCTAAGTACCAAGATGCGGTCTGGACTACAGCCGGATTTCCTCGTGGACCCTAAAATAAATGCCAGGAACAAATTCGTCCTCATGAAATTAAAAAAATAATAATAAATATTGCCCACGTTACTCACAGATGAAAACCTTTCGAACGGTGAAAGAATTTTTAAATCGCCCTAATAGTTTTTAAGTTATATTAATACATATACTGGAGGAGGAAAGATCGCGACGATCTCTTCCGGCGACGGGAGGAGAGATTGGCTGGCGCCTCGGCGAACAAGATAGGTAAATAAAATAGACAATTAGAAACTCCTTGAATGGCCTTTAACTTCATGATTTTTAAGTATGTGTTTTAAGTTTCTGAGTGGCATTTATAACTTGTTGAGAGGGAAACGTCATCGGTTTTTACCTAATAAAACCCAATTCCAAATGACCAGTTTAGGCGCGCAATAATATACAGGTTTATAAATTCTTAAGTCACGATTATGATAGGGATCATCGACTTCAATATAGTCTATTCTATATTTCTCATATTCCACAGTAAGGGTTTACATTACTGACCACTGAACGACTCTGCGACAATTTGTCTAGTCAAAAAAATTGTGGACATGATTTCTTGGATTTGTCAAAAATATATGCAGCATGCTTACGCGTATTACTATAGTCTATACTAATATTATAAACAGAGAAGATTTGTATTTTTGAATTTTTGTATGTATTTGATTCACGCAAAAACTACAAGCCGATTTTTAAAATTCTTTTACCATCACATAGGTAATTTATCCGTGAGTAACATAAGTTGCATTTCGTAATATTTTTTAATTTCACGCGAGCGAAGTTGCGAGTAACAGCTTGTTTTTAAAAAACAAGGAAAATAAAATTGTGAATTATTTCACTCAAATCAGAATTTAAAAACCATAACCTGGTGACCTAATAAAAAGGGAAATATGATGTAAACCGTTCAAGTCATATATAAATATCAAGTTTGCGTTGCATTCTGATCTTTGGCTCACAAACATGGCTAATTAAGTGATACAAGCAATTTGTATGTAATTAATAATAAACAAAAAATACCGGTATCTATAACCGGCCAGTTGTATTTCTTTTATATATGCAATTATATAAAACTGGTTGTAGAATGTTTCTAAAATATCATGTTCAAAGATCAATTAAGATATTTGGCAGACGAGGATAAATTGATGATTTAACCATGAAACGGTAATAATTAATTTTAAATTTAATAACAAAGTCCATCCATTCGGTAATTCTTTCTATCTCTCTTTCACCTATTATAAAAAAGTCAATTCTTTGACAACTCGTCCTCGCTCGAAAGACTCCAGTCCCAAAGGTACCATGGCGATGACATCGATGTCAAAAGCGCCTGTTACTAAACAATAGGTTCAATATCTTGACTCACGTTAACTTTCATTAGCCAGTTGAGAACGCAGGCGCGACTGATCGTAGGCAGGACGGATAGTTGGCCTGGTGTCTCGACGCTCAGCAGGTATTCAAACATGTCAGTCGCGTAATCGCTATGTAAACACTTCCTAGATATTTCCTCATCTGGAAATAAACACATAAACACATAAAATCTAAAGGGGTAGAGGTCATAAGTATATTGTGACTATGATATCATGTCAGAAATACCTCGCAAAAAATTTTGATTACACAGTATTTCACAATAAATGTGTATCTCATTCAATAATTTTTCTTACAGTTATTTGAGAATTCCATCTCCTAAGATATGTGTAATAAGTTACTAAACATAGGTAAAAGTTTAAGTAAATTCTACATTAAATAAACGTCATAGATATAATATATTTTTTACTTTTTAACAAACAGTGGGCGCCGCCAGCCGTTGATCTAGGTAATTTCAGGGTATTACAATTAATTTTGTCTTTGAATTAGTTTCCTATTTTTAATTTTTCGGGTACAGTCCTGTAGTGGATATACTACTTCCCATATTTTACCCATCTGGCGATGCGTACGAACACAAATCAACGAAAATTACTTACTGTAATCTGGACTTTGTTGATCTCGAACATTTTCATCGAATTTCAAACGACGCTTGTGTCTCTCATCACCTTTCTTTTCTGACGGTCCCAATGGTGACAGACCTTGCAACTCCCGACTATGTGGCCGTTTCAGACTTCTCTTTACATTTTTAAATTTATTCGGTTCTAATATAGGCGATTTGTATGGTGTGTCCACTCTCTTCGCTTCATTACCCAAATTCTCTTTTTCATTAAAACTGTCATCACTAATCGTTATAATACTATCGTCTTTGTCTTTCGTCTTGTCGTTTATTAGTTTAAGGTCCCAGTCGAGGTCATCATTATTATGTCTCAAAGTTATAAACTTGTCACCTATGTTTTGAGTTTGAATGTTTTGTTTAAATGGTGCAACTTTTCCATACGCTCGGCTTGATCCCGCTACAAGATCGACGCTGTTGAGATTTCTTAAAGGAACTCTTTGTTGGTCACTTTTTAATAAATGCTTCGGTAAAGCCGGCAACGGTTGAACGGGTAAAGGGATTCTTGTTTTATCGATCCATTTATTCAAGTTCTCTTTATCGGACTCCATTACGTTTTAAGCATAAACACTAATATTCACAATAATTTAAGTACATTAGTCGCGACCAGCGCAACATTTACTTCGAGTAACATAAATTCATTGTAGGTTTGAAAAAGTAACTACCCTCATTTTCAAAATAATCTTGCATAGATTATACTAACAGATACTAAATACAGAATTGAAAAATGTTTTTAATTGTTTTTTTTTATCAATGAAATAAATCTATCTAGTGTTTGTGTTATATTTAGGTTAAATATGTAGCAGTTACGTTAACTGGCAATATAATACAAAAAACTTCATTGACAAACAATCGCGGTGAAAATAAGATAGGATATTTTTAAACTATCAATATTGATGATCGATATTGATGGTTTTCGATCCTTAAATCTTTTCCAAATAAAAATACTTCTAATTTTCATAATCATATCAAAAAATTAAATTAAAAAATATTCATTTCCTGTATTTTGTTCAGCAACGCCTCTACCATTTTCATAGCTGGTAGACCATTCATATAAGGTATAAATAAATTTGATTTTGTTTGTAAATAAATAGTTTATTCTATAACATATCACAAATCAGAACATTCACAAAAATTACAATAAATTAAAAAATAAAAAACTTATTCTAACTTAACTACGCTGTGTACTTTTTCGTTATCAAATGCCTCTGGTTTAGATTTAGATTTGAAATAAAAACATGTTAAAACACTTAAATTCACAGCAAATGTCGATACATCAATTTCAAATTTCGATGTCAAGAACTAGCTATAAAATTGAAAGATCAGGGTGGGTTTGAACGCGACATAGAATTCATCAAAGGTAAGCCAACATAACTTCGTCTATACAATTATACAAGAACTTAGATTAAATTTAATTAAAAAATAATTCTCATAACATTCAAACTTCAAAAGTGGTTGGCTGTTGAGGATCGGTGACCTTGCCAGCGACCACTACGAGATTGTCGAGCCGGTCCATGATGTAGAAGATGAAAGGATGTTCAACGCAGAAGCGACGAGGAGACCTCTCTTCATAGAATGGAGCGTTTTTCAATGACTCTATTCCTGGGTTTGCAGCTGTAACAAATACATATTTTATAAATATACAACTCGTAGATTAAGTAGTACTTTAAGTACATAAAGCGTGCGCTGAAACTAAACTATCACAAAAATGTTTAGTCTCGCTTTAATTGCTTTGAGCTTATGTGGAGGTCTATACATTACTCGATTTTTAGTTGTGCAACTATACTGTTCATTTGGCAAAGAAACAATCGACAATCGCACTACAGTTGTGCGATAGTTTAGTCAAAGCTATAAATCCTCTGTCGCGGTGTATCATATGTGACTTAGTTTACTGATGGAATGAAAAATCCTTGAGAATATCTAAAACATTTAAGATATCCTATAAATTGACCGTTCTTAACCATGGCCTCAAATCGTGTTTTAATTTGGATCCTCACCAGAAAGTTCATTGGCAGCTGAATTAGCGTTATCCACGCGGACGGCGACGTGCTGCACCAGCTCTTGTACGAAGAGACCCTCGTCCTCCGACACACCTGATAGCTCGGCCTCGCGACTGAAGATGTTGCTCACACCAAACTGGAAAATAGGAAAGGTGGAGAATTAATGTTACTACATCTTCCCAATGATAATAATTTATTACTTCTCGATATCCCAGAGATAGACAGAGAAGATTTTTATGACAACAATGAATATTACAAGACTAAATCATGAGGTAATTTTCAATGTATCTATGTCAATTCTAGTATGACCTTTTACAGCAATGTGGCTATTATTAATCTTAGGTGCAGTAGTAGGTGCACTTAGATTACAACCATAGCTTATCAGTTATCAGTATGTCATTCATACTAACTACGAGTACTGTTGTGACAGTATAATTTTGTTTTGACTTACTTTTACTTTTACAATTTAAAGATATTTCGTTATCAGTTAAAGTTATTGATGCAAATCAAACTTTCTTATCGTTGTTTTTATTTAAGCTATGTTTAAAATCGCTTCACTGAAGCTTTTAATGTAATATTATGATACGTTAATCAACACACAAAATTTGTTTTAAAATTAAAATAAAAATCTTTTACACTCCACTGATCGTTACTAATAACAATTTGATGTACCATAAAAAGTATAACCAACCTTAGCAAGAGCAGCGACTGGCTTAGTAGTTGTTTCCACGTAGAAAGAAGGCAATGAAACTTGTAATTCTTCATCGATCATCGTTTCTTGAATATCAGCAATGGGTACGGAAGGTAAATCAGCAATGAGGCGGGTCAGACCATCCCGTGAGCGGGGCACAACAACAAGCAGAGCATATCGACCGCCCTGAAATCATATTAATATCATAAATGCGAAAGTTTAGATGGATAGATGTTTGTTAGAGTTTGTAGCCTAAACTGTTGAACGGATCTCGATGAAATTTGGCATAGAGTTAGAGGATAGGACGGAAGAACTCACTTTTGTTTTTTTTATTAATGCCACGCGGACGGAGTCGCGGGCGAAACCTAGTAAAACATAATTTTTAAGATTTTAATCTCTAACGTAACTTACTTAATATTAAAAAACATTAAATCTACAATATACTATTGTAATAAAGCGTTAACACACACTTCTTTGATGCCTAAGATGTCAGCAATTACAGCATATTTTTTTTTTAGTAAAAAGCCCTACACTTGCGTCACGCTAAGTTGCTGCCAACATCAAGGAAGCAAGGTTGTCATCATGTCGTCACTTTGACATTTGTAATTGATAATTTGGCAGATGTAAACAATGAAATAAAATTTTCATAACTTCATGCGGATGAAGTCACAGGGGAACAGCTGTTACATAATATTTATGCTCGTGAACCGGAGGGACAGTCACTCACCTGTAGAATTTATTTTTTGTTATATTGGGTATAAGGAATTACAGTGCATGATCAGACAAAAGTATTTGCTAATGATTTCTTTACTTACGTCATAAGGTAACATCAGTGCTTCACTGTCCAAATCGGGCAAAGAGCTAGTCTTAAACGTCCCAGTCGTCTTCATCATCGGCACTTGTTTTTTTACTGTATTGGATTTGTAAAACACACCGGGCTCCACGACCTCAAAAGGCTGTTTCCATGAACCACGGAAATACATTCCATTGAAAATTATCATTAACGAGTTAGATTTTGATGCTGAAAGAAAAAAAATGATTTGTAGAAATCTTGATTTATCACTATTGAGACATTTATATTTTTTAATGTAAAACTTACGTTTGCCAGATTTTTTACCAACGCTGTTCACAGAAACTATTGAGGAGATATCATTTTTATCATGCAGTATTTTCAGACTTCTTGCACTATTCCTTGCTTCCACCGCAACCATAGTCTCCTCTTCATCTTCAAGTTCTTCCTTTTCTTTCTTGGAGTATGCTTTAACGAGCTTAATCTTCTCTTTGATGTTCTTCGCTGGTTTGTATCCTACATGTGAAACATCAACTTTCTCAGGCTTATCTTCCATTGCAAACGTGATATACTTCTCTTCTGGGTCTTTAAGGGATAAAGGCTCCGAAATTTCGTCTTTTGTTTCATTGTCTTCTTTAGTCTCGGCTACTTCCGTATCGTCATCCGATTTGTTCAATTCTGAGTGATATCTTTCGACTGATCGTACCTCAGTTAAGTAATAATCTTCTAAGATTTTCTTGTAATCCTCATTGATAGTATAGTTTTTATAAATGTAAAAGAAATTCTTTAATTCGGGTTGATTATACTTGTATTCGTTTGTATTTTTTAGCCTTTCCATTATATAGCGGAATGTGGTTCTTGTTAGGTTTGGATTTTCGGGCAAATGTAATGCTGAAACCAATTGGTTTTTCGTCTCGCCTTTAGCACCTTCTGCTAGGATCGCTAGAATAGCGGCATATCCAAGTGGTGAGAAAGCAAGGTTGTTACTGTCGTCAATGTAACCCTATAACAAAAGAATAAATTAACTATAGTATTATAAAATTTAAAAAGACGTTAATGAATAATTTCCTTATGTTTTTTTAATAAGAGAAGAGGCAAACGATCGTGGGGTACGCCGAGGAGATCGTCGACGACCATGGACATCGGCAATACCGGAGGAACTACAAAATCGTTGGTAGCCTTTGAGAAGTTGATACGGTCGCTTATCGAAAGACCTTAGGTTCTAGCGGTTTGGAAATAAACCCAGCTATTCCACTCCTCAGTTTTGCTTGGGTTGGGGATTGACAGGTATCATGTATGTGTACCAGGCGATGTGTTGTGGTAATGTTGTGGACTATTACTTCGAATATCGAATATATTTTTGGGAGAAAGCTGATGATTGATTGCATCCGGTGTTATATCCAATGCTCATTTAAAATTAAGGTGTGCATTAGAAATACGGATACCATATCTTATATATGATTTAAAATATTCAAGTCTGATTACATGATGCATTCGCTGCCGAGTAAGTGACATGGATTAACTAATCTACTAACATTGTGACCTCAATATCAAGTTAATTTACTTCCTGATACAACCCAGCACTGTCACGTAATCTATAGGAAATAATATTAACTTTCTATCATAATTACCTGGAAAATGGTTGTAGAAAGTTCGTTTGTCGCCTCGCCGATGAATCTGGTGTCTTTGGGCTGATCGGAGCGGCCTTGCCTTAACCATAGTGCGTTGCTAAGCCCCACGGCCAAACAAGAAACTGGAAAATCAAAGTATATTCATAAATATGACGTTTTACTACAATATCCAAGTATCACATTTGCAAAAAAATGTAGTTATTTATTTTGAATTGCTGAAAACTTTTAAATAGAAAGATGTTTTTCTTACCTAACAAAAGCAATGTAATGGGGCTTCTTAAAATAAATTATTGTCAATAATTGATTTCGATTTTACAGCAATTATATTTAAATACCCGCAATTGAATATAAAATTGCAATAAATGTATACAGCTAACTTTCAAAGTGAATGTATACTTTCTCTCAAAGAAAACATGTTCAATATAATCGTAAATGCATT